GGCAGGGATGGGACAAGTCCTGCTTGGCAGGGGGTTCCTGCTTGGCAGGGGGTTGGACTCGATGGCCCTTGTGGTCTCTTCCAACTCTATGATTCTATGATTCTAAGTCCTAACACAAACTTTGCTGCCTCATGTATAGGACCCATGACCTTGACCTGATTTTCATTGGTGTTTCAAAGGGAGTAGAAAAATAAGATAAGCTTGTTCATTGTGCTGCCAGGGCTGGCAAAACTGCACAGATGCATTGGCTACTTAACATAGAGAGGTTTTCCTCTTTTCATATATTGTGTGCTGTAGCCTTGTGCCAGAGGATTGCCTGGGAAACCAATTGCCTGAAAGGCTAGCCATTTTGCAGCCTAATGTGAAGGACCCGATGAGCATCCCCATCACTCTGAACAGACAGCAGCTCAATCTTTCCTCCACACTGACAATAAGGCAGCATCTTCCGTTGTGCTTGAGGGGCAGCAGGTTAAATTAGGGTCCACAAGTCAAGATATGAACCATACAGACACAGCCCTGTCCTCTGAACACTTGGGCGCCACGCATTACTACCAGCATCTAATGCCTAGGGCAACTGGCACACTCTGCCCAATGGCAGAGCTGGACCGGATTGTCTAGTGGGAAAATGTGACTCTGATTTGCCTGTGTCGCAGACTCGCTTCCCCTGCAGCAGAGAAATTTGTGAGCAGTCACAGAAGAGGTGAATTATACATAGGTCTGCAGGAGTGTACCATGAACCCTATAACCTCCCATTTCATCATCAAGTCTCAGCTTTGCTCAACCCTAGTTATTATGGGGGGGGGGGAGAGTAATGTCTAAAATACTTTAATAATAATAATAATAATAATAATAATAATAATAATAATAATAATAATAATAATAATAATAATTTATTTATATCCCGCCCTCCCCAGCTGAAGCTGGGCTCAGAGCGGCTAACAACAGTAAAAATAACACAGTTTACATAAAATCACAATCAATTAATTGAAATACATTCTAAAATCAATTCATTCTAAAATCAATTCAAATTAATGGCAACCATTGGGCTAGAGTTCTATGAGAATTACAGAAGGAGGGGATCAGACTGTGCCTTGGCCAAAGGGCTGGTGGAACAGCTCTGTCTTGCAGGCCCTGCGGAAAGATATCAAGTCCTGCAGGGCCCTGGTCTCTTGTGGCAGAGCGTTCCACCAGATCAGGGCCATGGCCGAAAAAGGCCTGGCTCTGGCTGAGGCCAGCCTAACCTCCCTGTGGCCCGGGATCTCCAAGATGTTTTTATTTGAAGACCGTAAGGTCCTCCGTATTTATTACAACTCTGCTTGCAGTGAGATTGAAAGATTAAATGAATGTGTGACTCAGTGCATTCATTCATTCATTCATTCATTTTTTTTATGGTTATACCTCCCCTGTCCCTCCTACCAGAGCCCAGGCTGGCTTATTACAACTGCCTTAATAACAGAGCACAACTATCACATGGTTAGGATGGCACTTTGTTAGAGAAGGGCTGTATCTCCCCAATCTCTGAAGTACTCTCAGAAAAATCATGACCTTCTACAAAGGCCTAGAAAGACCCCAGCCCATTACAAATGGAGATGGGCAGATTTCACCCTTCACTAATTTCTGCAGGATATAAGAAATCGATCCTTTAGAATATTGGCTCCATTTGTGTTACCCAAAATACATTTATCCATGGTTTGGAAGACTTTAATTTAGTTCTGTGCTCAGTGCAGTGATGGATAGGGTATGTAAATGATTATTCAATCGACATTTCTGACAGGTTTTTCCCCAGCTCAAAAAAATGGAAAGAAATGTGCAGGTAGGAGGGGATGGGGTTGTATGTTACAGATCAGCTTTTCAAAGCCTGCTGCAAAAATTGTTCTCCATTAATGCATTATACTATGCATTATACCGGAACTTATCAATTATCCTCATTCCACTTCCCCAAATTCCCCAAGCTACCTGTATGGTTTCAGTTTCCACTCTTTTAAAATCCTGAAAGCCTTTGTACTTTGAGAAGAGTGTGGATTCCAGTTCATAAACTTAATTTGTAGAGAGTTTAGAATGCTCGAATCCATTGATTGCTGCTGTGGAAGAGAGATGGAGAGCTTATAAAAAGGTAAATTAATACCTGGATCAAATGCTTAAGGGGGGGAAATGTGCTATCTTTTTTCAGTGGTCCTTGCTTATCTAGTTGGTGCTGATGGTCAGCACACTCATCTTTCAGATCATCCTAATTCTGTACCGACCACAACCCAATTGCACTCATTTGTAAACCTTCTTTACCACCACTGCTCCACTGATGGAACAATCATAATAATGCAATGCTGAATTCCACACAAAACTTAGAAATTGCAGAATCTTACCAATTTTTGTGTGTATCCATTCTCCTAATGGATAGACATTCTCCTAACGGATAGACTTATTTTGTTGTGGAGACAACAGCTATCTCAGCTGGCAAGCTCTTAAGGTTGTGATCCTGTTGACAGTATGGGATGGGCCCTTCTTTAGATAAATTCTAAGCCATTCAGGTCTTTAGAATTCAAAACTAAAAGCTTGATTTGGGCTTCATGACAAATAGACAGCCAGTGCAGATCTTTGAAAATTAATGACCCCGTATAGTCTGGTCTGTTGAAACTCTGGCTACTGCATTTTTGTACCAACTGCAGCCTCCAAACCGTATTCAAGGGCAGCTCCATGTAAAACAAATGACAATGGTCGAAATAGGAGGTTACTAGAACATGGATAACTACAGTCAGGCTTTCCCCTGTCCCAGGGTGGCTATAACTGGCAAACCAACTAGAGGTAGGATAAATCATTGTTTCTCATTGTCCAAAAGAACTTCCTGGCTTCTTTCTTTAACTCCAGAGGTTGAAGCCATTTCTACATCCTGCTACAACCTAGCAAGTCATTATTTTTCTTTATAACTGTGAGAATACATGGTAGAGATTTCAGATTTCTTCCCATGGATATATCCATAATAAGTAAGGAGGAGTTTGCTGCTGAGAACTAATCTTTGCCAGCCTAATTGGATCCAGCCCACATTTCTCTACAATCTGCAGAAGAACTTGCTGCTGAGATGCAGCATTTGCCCAGCTCAGTTCAACCAAGCCAACATTGTGGGACAGAATTTTTTCTGGAGAGTCAATGACCACCCAGCTAACATTAAAACTAGGTTTACCTGCTGTTGGCAGAGCACTTTACTAATGAGAACCAGCATTTCCAACCCAAAGATTCCCCCTTCCCCCCTTTTTTTATCAAGGGACTGAGTCAACCCATCCAAAATGCAATTCTCCAGGTGAAGCTTGCCTGTTTCCCCCACCTGTGTAATGAATGCAGGTCTAATCATTCCCGATATGCTAAAGCAGAAACAATAGTGCATTTGTGCCTGTACCAAATGCAACCTTGAGAATACATTCAGACTAATTTTAGCCGATTCATGCTAGCTCCTCTTAATGAGGAGAGGGTTTTCTAATTTTTGAAAGCGTAGATGATTTTGATGCATACCAATCAGGATGAGTCTGTCTGCTAACGCAGCTTGACTATCTGTTGGAGGAGCTTTCTCAGGAGAACAGAATATACCTGCTTCTGCCATACACTGAGAGGAGTAATGAGAGAGCGAGGAACAGCAAAGAATAGTTCATCACTGCTATGAATACCTCCAATTACTCCTGCCATTCTGTGTGTCGAGGAGTTTTCTGTTGGGGAAGAACGGGGCAGCCCAAGGGAGGCGCAAGCTACATATTACACACCACCTGCAATTTAAAGCTAGGAGGTTGTCAGGGAGCAATGAATGATGAAAGTTACAGGAAAGTGCCATGCAATCATGTGCATATTTACCCAAGCTGCATACACACATCATTTTATTCTAGAATCTATGGAGACTCAGTACTCAGTCCACAAACAACACAAATCTGTTGCATATTTTGCATTCATCAGAAAAGAACTTCAAGGAACAATTCATGCCCGCTGCCTTGTAGGACGTCTTTGGGTGAAATCAGGGCTAAGGAGTAAACCTTACACAAATCAAGGGTGGGGTTCTTAAGGCACTTGGATGGCATCTTGTATGTCTCCTTCCAGCAACTCCTGCAACCAAGCTGGTGTCAAATGTATTCTTTTCCTTTCCTTTGAATGACATCAGCGAGAAGGCCAGGACCCTGATACACACTACCCAGGCTTGTGCCCCAGAGACCTCCTGGAGACTTTGATGCTGCAAATGCAGCATGTCCAATTGAAAACAGGTGTAGACTATCCTGGAAATGTGGTGTGTGTGTTCACCTCTACCCAATGATGTTGTGGGTGGGTGTGATTGGGCTATGATTGGAAGATAGAGAGGCAAGGTTGTAAGAGTGTTTGTGCCACTGCAGTCTATTTAAAGATTACTCAGGTCTTGATTCAAGGGATGCTGTGTGGATTAATAATAATAATAAATTTTATTTTTACCCCGCCCTCCCCAGCCAAGACGGGCGGCTAACAACCAATAATAAAAACAAGTTGATTGAAATACAACTTAAAAAACAAGATTAAAATACAACATTAAAACAATTAAAACATTAAAATGCAGCATCACAGGAGGAGAAAGCAAAAAAGGAAAGGGGGGGAGGGAATCAAATTGATAAAGAGATCCAGATCCTACTGAAGTCCATGGGATTTAAGTTCTTCTGTTTTGAGTGTCCTCTATATTTACCATACATAAGAAGCAACTTGTTTATGCATTGCTGCTTGCCATCTAGTGTTTTTGTTTTTCTGTGCCCTAGTCCATCTTCTGTTTCAAACACCCCCAGTAACCTTGGTTAGCTTTTTTTGGGGGGGGAGCCTTTGTCTCCATGCTTTGCAAAATTGCAAAGGCAGATGCAAAGAGAGAATTCCTCCTCCATGAGAAGACAATAAACCCTGATGAATAGTATTTGCATAACTGAGATGGAAAACCTTAAAGACCAGTCAGAAAGCTCTGGCTTTGTTTAGAAGCATCCTTATCACACTTCTAAGTTCTTTCTTCTGCCCAAATGGTTTTGTCCACATGGCCTGTAGGGCTGTGTGGGTGAGGGGAGATGTGTGCAAAGGGAGAAGCAGCTGTTGTTGTGTGGCTGTACGTGTCAGGGACCGTACTGAGGAGGGCTGCACAGATGAGGAATGGTGGGAGCCTCCCCCTCCCCCTGCTCCTGATCGGGATCCTGAATCTTCCCAGGAGCAGTGGGACAGTGTAGATTTGGAACAGTGGTTCGCAGAGGGACATAGTTCAGAAGGCAAAAGTTGGGAAGAACTGGGTGGTGAACAGCTAGGAGAAGAAGAATCAGGAGAGAGAGAATTAATAGACTCCAGTTTGCTGGTAAACATCCAGCGGATCAGTCCAAGGTCACTGAGATTATATAAGGTATCTGCACAGAAGGCACAGTGGTTGCCAGATCAGGTTGCAAGGCGAGGAAGTGATGAGGGTGACTCGGGGGGGGTGTAAACCTTAATTGGGAGCACCTTTACTCCGAGAATGGACTCTTTGTTCTTTCTCAGTGATCATTAAAATCTCTTTAAATGGTAAGAGACTAGTTTTGCTTTCTTCTGCTTATCCACAGCCAAAGGGAGGGAGGGAGCCGCTTTCCCAAAACCTGACGGTATGCTAGCACAATGTGGAGAGGCAAACTTTTAATATTCAAAATAAAATAAAATGTGTCAAGCATGTTTCAGCACCTCAAAGCACAGACTACATGCCATCTAGCTGGATTTATAAATTATTGAAACAAAATACATCACCTGATAAATGCCAAACACCACATTTTTCCATGTATAAGACGCCCCCATGTATAAGTTCCTATTTTAAGGGACTCCAATTTAAGACAATATGGAGATTGCCCCATGTATAAGACGACCCACAGTTTTTCACATAATTTGTAAGTAAAAAAGCCTAGTCTTATACATGGAAAAGTATGGTACATACAAATATATACTATTAGTGAAAACTATGGGATCCACTTTGATGGGTAAACTGACTAAATACACAGTCTTTATGCAGTCCGAAAACAAAAGACTTCTATAAGGACTAGCAACACAAAGCAATTTATGGCAATCCACCAGAAGTTCAGAGCTCTCCAGGACAGATTTCTAGGCAGCAGCATCACTGAGTTTTTGCTGCAGTAGAAGGCTTTCCTTGTGCTTCTGCTCCTCTCTTCTGTATAGGTGACAAGTGTTGGTAACGGAATTACATAAATGATGGAATCAAATAGTGCTTTCCTACTTCAGATTAAGGGACGCAGGTGGCGCTGTGGGTTAAACCACAGACCCTAGGATTTGCTGATCAGAAGGTCGGTGGCTCGAATCCCCGCGACGGGGTGAGCTCCCATTGCTCGGTCCCTGCTCCTGCCAACCTAGCACTTCAAAAGCACGTCAAAGTGCAATTAGATAAATAGGTACCGCTCCGGCGGGAAGGTAAACAGTGTTTCTGTGCGCTGCTCTGGTTCACCAGAAGCGGCTTAGTCATGCTGGCCACATGACCCGGAAGCTGTACGCCGGCTCCCTCGGCCAATAAAGCGAGATGAGCACTGCAACCCCAGAGTCTGTCACGACTGGACCTAATGGTCAGGGGTCCCTTTACCTTTACTTCAGATTACTCAGCATGTGCCCCACTAAGCCAAGTGCAGCCTGGCTGCCATGTTCAGTGGCCTACAAGATACTTGATAGCCTTCCAGGTTTGGCAGTTCCAAAGGCAGGAAAAATGGAGTACAGTATATATTAGCTCCTGGCAATCAGTGGCTGGTGGGCTCAATGTAACTCAGCAGGTCACAAGTTGTGTTGCCTTGCAAGCTTTGAAGTGGCCTGTGGTTCTGTGGCAGTGTGGAACTGGAAGTGGCTAAATGGCTGCTATCTCTAATTGGTTTCTAATTGGTCATTCATTTGTAAAAAATAAAAAAAAAGTATTAGCTTAAGACCCAGGAATTGACCCACTGAATTCTAGAATGGGGCAGTTATATAGAGATGATCATATAACTGTCACCCACAGGCAGCCCAACTGTTTTGTTTTTTTAATTAAAAACTAATCCAACTCTCTGTCCTCTCATTCTGGATTTTAGGTTGTACCAGGTGAATTTTGATGTTCCCACCTGCGAAGGCAAACGACGAGAAAAACTCTCGCTAATAGGCGACTTCTCTTCTTCCGCGGAATTCTTCGTCACTATTGCAGTCTTTGCCTTCCTCTACTCCTTGGCCGCAACGGTGGTTTACATTTTCTTCCAGAACAAATACCGTGAAAACAACAGGGGCCCTTTGATTGTAAGTGTTCGTTACACGGACAGCTTTGTTCCTATTTATTGATTCATTTGTTTAGCCTCTCGCTTTGAATACCCTCTGTTGGGTCAGTCTGAGTTCTGGTGTAGTATTGTTTTTCTTTGACACCAGGGTTGAATGAAATATTCAGTCGTCTGACATCATTGCTGAACACAGCAATGAAGATTGCAGAGGAGATGAATGGATGGATGGATGGGACTCTATCAGGCAGGACCACAATGTATGCTCTTCAGCATATAATCCCTGCTGCATATAATATTATGTCCTTATTTTATTTTCATTTACGGCTTTGCACAAACTTCACCCTTTTCATTTTCAAACCTTTCCCTCTAATTTTTTTATCAGAACTAATTTTCCATCCAGATCCTTCTGGATCCTATACAGTGGTACCTCAGGTTAAGTACTTAATTCATTCTGGAGGTCTGTTCTTAACCTGAAACTGTTCTTAACCTGAAGCACCACTTTAGCTAATGGGGCCTCCTGCTGCTGCCGCGCCGCTGGAGCCCGATTTCTGTTCTCATCCTGAAGCAAAGTTCTTAACCTGAAGCACTATTTCTGGGTTAGCGGAGTGTGTAAGCTGAAGCGTATGTAACCTGAAGCATACGTAACCCGAGGTACCACTGTATCAACCTTCCTAATCTGAAGCACCACTTTAGCTAATGGGGCCTACCACTGGCTCGCGATTTCTGTTCTCATCCTGAAGCAAAGTTCTTAACCCGAGGTACTATTTCTGGGTTAGCGGTGTCTGTAACCTGAAGCGTATGTAACCCAAGGTACCACTGTATTGCTTTGTCCAATTCTGCCTCTGGTGCAACCCACTACTGGCATGTGGTTCCCTAACTCTGTCTAGAATGATGCAACATACAGTTTGGTATTGTCTATCTGGATCCCTTTTAAGGATTACTACTACTACTACTACTACTATTGTTCTTCTTGTTGTTATTTGCAGATTACACCAATCTTTATATTCCCATTTTACTGCCATGTCCCATCTATTGTTTCTGTAATTGCCAATTATTTCACATTTCCCCCCCTTTTTTACTCAGTAAATCATTATCTGCATCTCACATTGTACTTTTCATTTTATATAGCACTAACTTATATTTCAGTTATATATTCTTTTTATCTTTTCTGTCTGTTAATGTGGCGTCTGTACAGTTCCATTGCCTGTTTGCTGGGACTGGAACAAATCTTCCAGATGCACTCTACTTTGGTCTGACTCTGGTTCCTCCTGGATCCCACCCCTCGCTTGCCAGAAGGCTAAAATTAGAACCTCTTTTCTCCATCCACCCCACGAATGACTGAAGAAGGAGCTGGCAGGATGTCTGGCAGCACCGCCTTAGTTAATTCCAATGCGAAAAGCTGCAGAGCTGCTGGAATATTAATTAGAAAAGCTGTACCCAATATAAAACAAACAGTCCTGAAATGTGCTTTGAGACTGCTTTAATATAGAATACAGTATCAACGCAGAGGCTTTACAACATTAAAATTTCCCCGAAGTAACAAAACTCTTTTGCAACATTTCATTAATTAAAAAAAAAAAGTGAAGCTTTGAAAGCAATACTAATGATTACATTGTATCAATTATTCATGAAAAGTTAAACGCCTTTTTCTTCCGCTGAGAATTTAAAACAACCTTTATTTTCATTGTATATTGATTATTCCCTTTCCACCCAAGTGGTAGCTTTAATAATAATAATAATAATAATAATAATAATATGAGCAGGATTCGGTCTTTTTCCCCCCTAATGAAAAATTCCATTTTCTTTAAATAATCCAGCACAAATATATATATATTGTTTCACAGGATGCTGTTGGCATGCAATAAATATTTGATGTTAATGAGGATTTTGTGCCTCCTTTAAACCTGCAGATGTCTCAGTTTCCCAGAAGAACTGAGATCCACTGAGATCAATGGGGCATTTGCAGCTGAAGGCTGCAAATAGGCGAAGGGTTGTCACACACAGATGATGGAGCAAATTTGCTTTCTGATGCGCCAGAGGGTAGGATCCGTGCCCACAGGTTCCAGTTACAGAAAAGGGGATTTTTCTGATCATTAGCTGAAACATTAAACATCATACCTGATGGCATGAGCTGTCGGACAAGGGGACAAACTACCTTGGAAAATGGTGGACTCTCCATGATTAGAGGTTTCTAAGCAGAGGCTGGATGACCACCACCAATGAAGAATGCTGTTGTAGTGGATTTCTTGCTTCAGAAGCATACAAGCACTGCCAGTTACTAGACAGAGCTGGAGAAAAATAGCGCCTCGTGTACACACCATTTAAAGCAGATAATTTCCCCCCTCCCATAAACCTGAGAACTGGACTTAACACCCCACAGAGCCACTGTTCCCAGCACCCTTAGCTACTGTAGTTCCCAGGAGGCTTTGGGGGAAGTCGTGCAATCTAAATGTGCTTTATGTTTATAGTGTGTTGCATAGCCACAGCCAAATTTGTGAAACTGAGACCTACCCTGTTTGCTTGGGAGTGTGTGGCCTTACTTCTGAGTAAACAGGGTCCTCGCTGTGAATCTTGGTCATCAGCACATTCTTTTCTTTTTAAATGAAAATATCCCAAGTGTTACTGAAGGGCTCCATGGCTTGATAGGAGCATGTGCCTCCTTCCACATACATAAATTGAAAGGTAAAAAAAAAAGTTTGCCGTTTCACTGACCATGTGCAGAGTGCTTTCTGTCTCTTCAGCTGGGCATTGACTTCTAAACAAACGTGCCCAGGGAGCTGTGACTGACAGACTTTCCTTAGCAAGGGACGTTAAAAATGCCTACCTATCTTCCAGCTGCAAACTATGAAGAACAAGGTAACAGTGAAATTGGGGGCGAAGGAGCCTTATGTAAAATCATAGTCATACAGTAAACAGCTGGCCACGCCACCATCTCGTGTATACTAAACTTTGCCTCATAGACAAAGTTTGTGATTAACTTGCTGTCCACTGTAGCCACAGTCCCAGAGACTGGGAAAGGCATTTTTCATGGTGGCAAGTCGTTGCGGTTTTCCAAAAATCCACCTCAGAAAAATGGCCTCTGCTTACCACCAGGGATAGAGAAGCCTAAGGGCCACATTTCTTTCTGTGGAACCTCTCAGGGGCCACATGCCAGTGACAGGCAAAGTCCTAGGCAAAAGCGAGCAGAACGATAGACATGTGAATTTGACTTTTGTTCCATAGGCTGGTTTCTTCACCCTCACCTCTACCCTCTATATCCTCTGTTTAGGCCAGCAAGAATCATGATCAGGGTTCATGAATAAAATTACCTCATTCTTTGTGGAGAGAGGGGAGTCTTAATTTGCCCCATTTAGAAGTCTTAAGGAGGATTGTCTATCAATTAGCTCCCATGGAAAGACATCACTGGAATAGGCACACAGACACACTTACAGAGAAGTTCTAAAATTAATCTCAGGAAGCACCTATTTGACATGTAGGACTGCCCATAGCAAGCCCCATGCTTTAAAAAGAGGAATTGAGTATGTATAAACTCCATAAGAGCAAGCTGTATGAGCACCATTCCCTGCGCACTTAATTTTAACAGGGCGGTGTCGTCGAAAGCATATTTCATCATTCAGCAGGCAGCATTCCCTTGCCTGGGTTCCGCTTGACATGTAAAAGACATTCCCAAGTCATGGGCTGCACCTAATCTAAGACGGATGGCCCCCTATCTGAGTTCCCTGACACTATTAGGGCTCCATTATTTTCAGGGCAGATAATCCTGATTAGCAGAGGTTGTGACAGAATCTTAATGCACTGACTCCTCTGCTCTTTTCAGTAATGTCTTTCTAGTCCATAAAGCCTGAACTAGCCACAAGCAGAAAATAAACCATTGTAATAAACCGTACCAAGGTTGTAATGTAATGGTGACATTTTCATTGCCTGCGATTTCTGAAAATAATTAGATGGGCTATCACACGCTGCATAAATCAGTGTTGTGTTTCCATACAGTCTCAGGGGAGAGACAAATTGGATAATCAGTAGCCTGTATAAAGGGAACCTTTTCGTTGATCTGCACTTTCTCCCCCATCTCTGCCACATTTTCTCGAAGGAACTCTGGATGGTGTAGCTGCTTTGCCTCCCTTTTTATCTCCACAATAACCCTGAGAGGTAGGTGAGGTATAGGAAGTGGCCCAGGATCTGAGCTCAGTTCTTGCCAGATGGCGAAACTACATGTTATGCACCACAGCAGGGTGCTGCTCAGAATGACATCCCTCTCTTGCATTGTCTCATTGGGACTGGCAGGGAATGGGCAAGGAGACAACCAGCAGGTGGCGCCAGAGCCAATTCCTCCTTCCTGCTGAGAGGTACAAAAGCAAGCAAAATTGAAACTAAGCATGAGGTAGATGAAGGCTGGCTGAGGGCATACAGATGTTGGTGGGGCCCCCAGTGGCCCCAATGCCTTATGCTCTACCAGCCTCAATGGACACCAGCCACCATTTCCCCTCCCCCCCCCGGTAAATTTACATTTGAGCCACACATCTATGACCCACTTTCTTACGTTACTCTGTTGCTAACATAGCCGTATGCCTGCAATCATTCCCTTTGATTGGAGACCTTGGTGAGAGTCCTCCAGGCTAGCATTTAAACCCTGCCACAAAGCGCTTTAATGTTTCAATGCTTGTGATTAGCTCCGAAGCTTTAAAACACTAGCTCTGAGGGAAACCGAACTCCGGTCACCGCTCATCAAAGCCCTGTTGAGGCTTTGTCATTTTCGGGCCTGTAATTCTTACGTTTGCCTTCTGGTAGAATGCACACAGAAGGATTGATGTTTTCCTCCACATCCCAGAGAGCGCTGGTTTTCTGTTGTTTCTCCAATGTATGCTGAACGCCAAAACTCCTCCTTACATATGTGTTGGTATGGCTTCTTGCCATGATGGCCACAGAAAGGCTGCGTGGTTGGGACTGTGTTGCCCTCCTGCCTTCCCACCGCTATATATCCATGCTGAACTGCAGGCGCTGTGGTGGAGACAATCTGATGCCACCATGTTTGCACCGCACCAGCACCTCACAGAGCTGCCTTGCCCCTCTCCCTTTTGATTACACAACAACAACACATGATGTTGGGATGACTGGAGAGCACTGATCGCCTACATGTGAGGAGACACTGATGCAGGAGTACTTTGAAACCAAAACAATGCAGAAGGCTGTACCCCATGCCCCTCTGCCCCATTCAGGCATCTCATGAACCTACACTGTTCCATTTTCTCTTTTCTTTTCGTAGGACTTCATTGTGACGGTGGTGTTTTCGTTCCTGTGGCTCGTGGGCTCCTCTGGTTGGGCTAAAGGGCTCTCTGATGTGAAAGTTGCTACAGACCCCGACGAAGTGCTCTTACTGATGTCGGCTTGCAAGCAGCAGTCAAACAAGTGCATGCCTGTGCGCAGCCCAGTTATGTCTAGTTTGAACACTTCAGTGGTAAGAATTTGCTTTTATGTTATCGAAAGGCAGGCCGGGGGGGGGGAGCATCCATGGAAGAAGATGGATGGTCCTTAGCTATGAGATCAGACAAGAGTTTTGGGTTTTCTATTTCCCTGCCAATCCACTGGAGTCCAACACGCAGCACATCATGACTTCACCTAATTCACAGGCTCTTCTGTGAAGCATAAACACAAGAGAGGGAGCAATGATAATAATCTGAGCAACCGACTATAGTAAATGACAAACTTCTTACCTGAAGATTAAAAGACTGGGTGCTGTGGCACACTTAACAATCAAGATGCATTCATCAAAGTAGCCTGGAGAACAAGCATGCAAAATAACTTGATAATTAGATTATGCAGTATTTGGAGTAAAAGGGAGTTCTTACTTACCTATTCTTATAGATGATTGCCACCGCTACTACTAATGTTACTGTTACTTCCACCAAGGGAGTTGTCATCTGCCTTGCAAAAGAGTTCCTTTTAGAATGGTTTTAACATCTTTGCGATCAGAAAAGGCAACTAGGTAGTGATTCATCGTATCTAATAATGCACACAATAATTAACAGGGGCCACAGGCGTGTAATGCCTCCTGCCAAAGTACGTGAGTCTTCTTTGAATCAGGGACCAGCAGTCCTCTTACTGGAAGAAAGCTGTAGGCAGCCTTCAGTAGATTCCTATTTACTCCTATGATCTCAGTTTATAAAGACTAGGAGCAGCTAGATCAATCTTTCATTTGCTTTAATGGGATGACACCCTTGGCCCTTGGTGTAGACCAAAGAGCTTGTAGAAAGAAAAGCAAACATGATCTTAATTGCTGGAGTGATCTGTCTGCATCAATAATCCTCTTCAGTCTGAACGCATAAAATGGCAAGTGGGAATGTGCTGACCAAGCCCCATCCCATTGAGGCCAGGGTATGTGCAGGCAAACACTTCTTTACCAAAGTATGGTCGATGTTAGTCTAAAGGGGGCTACCTTACTCACCTGTTGGGAAATACTCATCCCCCTTCAGAATCACATGGGCCAGGGAATGCACCCAGGACAAACAGTATCATTGAAGGTGCTTGACCTGCACATTGTTGCTTGATTCTTCATGCATGGAGATCCGAAGGGGGTTTAGATCAATCTAGAGCTGGGGGGAGGAACATGCCCCCCCCCCCAGGTGGCACTGGACTGCAGCTCCTATCACCCTTGACCATCGGCCAGGTTGACGGGAGTTGGAGCCCAACACTGTCAGGAGGGCCACAGATTGATGGCAAAACCATATGTGAAAATTCATGTAATTTTAAAAAAAAAATCATTATTTATACATTTCACTAATTTACAATCATTTTAACATTTCAAAACTTGACTTCCTTCCCCTTCTTTCTGCTGTTCCTTAAATTTATTTCTGATCTCTTCTGCATAACCAAATTAACTTAATTTGCTCATTTCTCCATGTACTTCAAATATGTACTCTTATAAAACTGCAGGTTATTACAATAATCCTGCCAATGTTCTTGTCTGTTTATAATTTATCTGTAAATATTCAATAAACCATTTCCATTCTTTTATTAAAAGTTTTTTATCTTGATTTCTTATTCTTCTGGTACGTTTAGCCATTTCTGCATAGTCCATAAGTTTTTGTATCCATTCTTCCTTTGCTGGGACTTCTGCTTCTTTCCATTTTGGGGCAAGTAACATTCTTGCTGCCGTAGTAGCATACGTGAATAAGTTTCTATATGGATTAGGTAGTTCTGTCCCTATAATTCCCAAAAGAAAAGCTTCTAGGTTTTTTTCAAACGTTATTTCAAACATCCTTTTCAATTTATTATATATCATTTCCTAGTAAGCTTTAACATTACTACACGACGGCCACACATGATAAAAATAACCTTCTTTCTCTTTACATTTCCAACACTTATTTGATTTAGATTTATACATTTTTGCCAATTTACTCGGTGTTAGATACCATCGATATATCATTTTCATGTAATTTTCTCTTAGACCGTAACATGCTTTATATTTTATATCCATATTCCACAATTGTTCCCATGCTTCCTATGACCAATATCTATTGCCCAATGTATCATTGAGGATTTTACTTGCTCATCCTTTGTCTCCCATTCCAATAATATTTTTAGACAGCACTTTTACATTACATTCCAACAGGTCTCTCTCCAGTTGTGATATTTGTTCCTCAAACCCTCGTATCCTATCTTTCTTAAATACTTCATTCAAATGATGATATTGTATCCATGTTGTTAATTTCCCTGATAATTCCTTAAATTCTTTTAATTTATACTCTCTTCCCTTTTGTTTTAATAAATTTCTATAAGTTGTCAACCCTTCTATCATATTCTTTTTCTTTACTGCTATAGCTTCCAATGGTGAGAGCCAAAGTGGTGTTTTTACCTCTAATAAATTATTGTATTTATCCCATACTCTATACAATTTTTTCCTAATTATATGATTTGTAAATCCTTTATGAACTTTCACCTTTTCATACCATAAATAAGCGTGCCAGCCAAAAATATTGTCATGACCTTCTGAGTCTACAATATGTGAATTCTGTAATGTCATCCATTCCTTCAACCAACAAAGACAGGAAGCCTCATAATATAGTCTCATATCCACGTCTTGATTTACTTCCCATTTAGATCTTCGGATTCTTGAACTTTATTCTCTGGGCAGGAAACATTTGGTTTGTTTTCAAGGAGACTGGCTGGCATTCTTCAGGCACGAGGCACCCTCAAGACACCATGGAGAAGCAGTCTGGCAGCTTTAACCAAGGTGGCTACAATCAAGATAGCTACGGGCCAACTGGTGGCTATAACCAACAGGGAAGCAGCTTTGGGCAGCAGACCAACTATGGCCAAGTGGATGAATTTGGCCAGCAGCAACAGAGCAGCCCCACCTCCTTTGCTAATCAAATTTAGCTCACACAGAGTTCCAAGAGCTCTTACGTTGAGCATTGTGTGTGGAAAGCTGAAACACAGTGGCAGGCAGCAGATTTCTCAAGTTTTAGATAAATGTGACAGAATTTCATCTAAATCAAAGGTCTACGGGTACCATCCGAAAAAGGTGGGTTGTGGTTCTTACTTTGTTTATATATGAAGCATCTTCTCCTTGTGAGTAGATGATTGAGGTTATAGTCATCAGAGGTGGTGGATTGGGGTAAATAATTGTTGTATGTACTGTATAGATAACCTTACGGTAGTTTTGTATGTGTATGGTGGCAGCATTTTGTAGCCTCGAGTCTGTAGTATATGATATGGAGAACACAACTGAATTAGCTTTAGATTTTCTTCTGCATTTTGGTGAACAGCAAAATGTGTGTTTTTGCATTATTTCTGATCGTATCACAATGCATGCATTGTAGCGCCTAAGTTTTCAACATTGCCTGTCTATGATTGTTGGTTTATAATATTTGGTTTTGGTTTTTTTCTACATAAGAAATTTATTTGACATTTGTCCTGATTAGCAAATTTGCAGAGTGTCTTAGTGCATGAGGCTGCATCATTTTCACGCCAACAGAATGTTATGAACTGTGTATATGGGATTTTTTCAATACCACCACTACTACTTTTTAATTGGTTTGTTTGTTTGATATAATGTTTTAGATAATGTATGTATGTATGTACGTATGCCTATTTTATATATTTTGCAGAGTTGGATCAACGGCTTACCCAAAACTTGAATGCTGCATATAACTAAAACAGTTTTCCTTAAAAGGGCATTCAGAAATAATATGCTGTAAACTGACCAATTTGTTTGTTTAATCGAGCTCAGTATTCCTTCTTTAAATCCATTTTTGATGTTTTGTGACTCTTTGAACGTGAACTGTGTAATATAAGGACCATGTAACTGTGTTTACATGTTTACAAAGGTATTTATTTAATTAGGATAACAGAGGTGCAGATATCAGTAAGTGAAACTATCTGGTGGCAAACGCCACATTGACAGATAGCGCAACAGAGCATGTGCACATTCAGAGCTGTTGCGAAACACTTTTCTTCTATGGCCATTGATGGTGAAGAATGTTTTTCTCTCTAAGCTGTTTCAAAGTTGTTCAACGTCTGTTCGGTCCAGTCGTTATGATGATGTATACTGGATTTGGTGCTATTCGTAAGTAGAAAGAGAGTGTCAAACACATAAGATCTCAGCAATCGAGAACACTGAGCCATTTCCTTAGCGGGGTAAAGGTAATTTAGAGATCATGCTGATCTCAAATTGTGCGTAATATTTTCCAGGAGGAAAAAATGGTTTCTGCTCAGCCATTTTTCCGCAGAACCCTTTAGCTCCATGGCAAGGCAACAGAGCCAGACTTCTGCTGCTAGATGGAAAGCTTTGTTTTCTCTTTCCTCCAGCAATAGACAGGACTCCACATAATAAGCAGCAAAAGAACCCAAGCCATGCTGCAAAATGGAGCCAAATTTGAGAGCAGCAACCTCTCTCACACTGCAAGGGGAAAGATTGAGCTCTACTCTCATTCCTGTGTGAGTTGAGCACTGGACTGCTTCCTGCAGGATGCTGAATCAAGCATTTCCATGTCTCCACATATACACATATGTACTGCAGGGAATTGGTAGGGTCAGGAGGGAGTTAAGTACTGAGTTGCTACCTTGCCTCAGTCTCACTGACTGAGACTCATCCTGGTGAGAAAGTGTCGCTAACCGCTAACCTAAAACACATTGGATACTGCGCAGCAAAGCTAGGGTCATCTTAGCATCCCTTTCAGCTGCCCTGCAACCCCCCGAAACTCAGTTTGCAGCCTACAGATGAACACACCACTGTAAAAACTGAACATCTGCATTTCTAAATAGAAGTGTAAACGTCTATGATATCATTGTATGAGCTGTAAATGTTCAAAGCATATTTTAGCATAAAACGGCATAGTCACTTATATGATTGTTGTAACCAATGTATGACTGCTCAGTGGATGACTCAATATTGTGATATATCTATTTGACCCGCATAAATAAAGATTATTGCATACAATGCTTGTTTAAAGGCATGTGGTGGTGCTGCAACACACACACACACAGAGAGAGAGGGGGGGGGGATAAAATAGGACATGCATCTTCTTACCATCCATTTTCACTTCAAGTTATTGTCTAACTTGGGCTTCAACCTGAAATGACAAGTCAGCTTGTACATGCATTATGTTTGGATTGAAAATAATGGGGGAAATTATGTTTTCTGTTGGATCAGCTTAAGCTGATATGGGAATGTGCAACATAGTCTTGAGTATTCTTCTGCAACTTGATAGTCCTTCAGATATTTTGAACTACAGCTCACATCATCCTGTGATTCAAACTATTGGAGAGTTACAGCGCCTGCTGTGGCTGTAGAGGCCGATATGGGAGAGACATGTTTTGTTGTAGCTCGGCAGTATTCAGCTAAATAACTGTGTGAGCAGAACAACTTCCACTTGCATAACGGGACTGTCCCTCCTCTCCTCCCCATACGCACACTGTGACTGTTCCAAACTTGCTCCGAGGGTTTGGGGAACACCTACAACAGATGTTGGGGTACATAAGGGGAGGAGAGGGGGAGAGCATTGAACTGTACAAGGAGAAGTCCTTGTGCTGATAAAACCTGAGCACTATGTTGAATTCCACCCCAATACATCTGGAAGAGACTTGGTTGGGGAGAGTTTATGCAGCCGTTCATCAATACAGATGAGAAAGGTAGCAACATTTCAGGAATACAAGTTACAAGGGCCTGAACAAATTTGTCTTGTTGGCAATGGGCTATTTGCAAAGCTGAGTGACAAATGACATTTGTAATGTAGGAAACATTCGGCATTCATGGTCAGGGTGTTCGTTTTTGACATTTATAAACATCCCATTAAACAAAGTCATATGGGTGGATCATAACACAATATCATGCTACAATCAAAACATATATTAAAGTATACCACCTAGTGTTTTTTCTGTTAACCCCCTCCCTGACTAAATCAGCAAAATCAACAACACAAAACCAGCACAGAACAGCATAAAATCAATCTCAAATGGCCTACAACCAGCACAGGGGGGAATCATTAGTGCCTAGAAGGAGAAATATGTAATCACATATTAGCAATAATTATCATTCTTTCAAAATCCCTGATTTATGTGCTGTAAGCTGCCCAGAGTGGCTGGAGAAACCCAGCCAGATGGGTGAGATGATATTATTATTATTATTATTATTATTATTATTATCATCATCATCATCATCATCACCACCACCATCTCATTATCTATTATGTTGGGGGAAGGTATGAAATTCTGATTCTAAGGCATAAAAACGGGGGGGGGGGTGTACTCTGCAGGATCAGATCAAAAGGATCCATCTTTTCCAACACCCTATTTTGAACCACAGCCAATGAAATGCCTGGCTGTGGCATTGAGAGTGTTGCATAGATTTCCTGTTTACCAACAGGAATCAATAAATTCTTGCTCTGGATTATCTTGAAACTAGAGTTCATAGACTGCCTAGCTTCACAGATATATTTTTCCTCCAGGAAACCTACACAGCACATTCGGAAAACAAACCCAGGACTTAAAGTTCACAAGGAGAAGCAGAAAGCACATAGCAGTCAGCCTTGTCTCTTGTGGTCTGGCAAAAGGGTGAAGACAGAGTGGTTGTACAGAGTGGTTGTAAAGAGGCATTGTAGGAAGCAGATGGGAGTTGAGCAGCTGATGGCTTAACACCTTCTGCAAAGCCCAAAAATCTAGCATAAATGCCTCCTTTGCCATAAGGGCACATGCCAGCCCTGAAGAAGGCACATCATTATGTATTTAGCAAAGAAGGGGAAGCAATGAATCATAGGCTATTTTCAATCTGTCCTGTTAAGGTTGCACTAGCTTTGCTGTCAGGAGGAGACTGGAGATATCACAATAAAAAAGGGTGATGAACCTCTTGCCTCCGGCTTGCATGGTGACAAGGATGTAGAGGAATTCTCAACATGGACACATCATGTATCTTAATCTTATAAAGAACGCCAGAGATTTGTTGCCTTCTATTAACACTTTCTTTTAGGCAACTAGAGAAGACTCTTGGTTAGGAAAAGCATTACATTTTGTTCTGATGTATCTCTGTCCTCTGTCAGTGAAGTTAACTCTTTATTCGAAGAAACCAAAACAGTGCCGGCCTAGTGATCACAGCAACTCTTGCCCCAATCAGACAGTTGCAAGAACTGAAAATCCCTGCCTTCTCAACACTCTTTAAGGCTCCTCCCCTGGGTCCTTCCCCAGAAGCCTAAGGCTCAATTGCCTTGTATCTCATTGCTCTACCTTCTTCATTCCTCTTTGTGTTGTGGGAGACCAGAGGGGAGGGGAGCTGGTCGCAGCAGGAGGGGGAGTTTCTCTGGCTCCTTCAGCAGCCTGCCTCACCTCTGTCTCCTGGCTCCCTCCTCTCCTGCCTCTGAGTCTGTACTGCTCTCTGCCCTAGCTTCTTCTTGCTCACTAAAACCTGTTGCCTTTTCAACTTCCAATACCTCCTCCCAGTCTGCTCCCTTTTCTCCCTCTGACCACGCATTGTCGTCCCACCACCAATCCCCTGGCTCTGAGCCTTTGTCCCTTGGGGGTTCCCCCAGCTTATGCCTCCCACCACCCCTCTGCATTCAGCCAGTCCATGACACCTAATCGGCAGGGCCAACAGTTAAGGATGATGGGAACTGTAGTTCAACATCTTGACATTCAGTAGATTCCTCACCCCTGGTTAGTACATTTGGCTAGCATAGTACTAACTAGCCAAAGGGCTCTGCAATTCATAGATACAAGGCAAAGGCCAAACGACATATGACACTAAATGCACCTCTATAAACACTTACCACCTCATCCTGTGCTGCTTGGCACAATGGGCACTAATAGCAGCACAGGAGACAATTTCCATTGAGATCACAGGGAGGGAAGGGGTAAGGTCCACTGAGCGTGCCATCATGACCAGGGGT